TATCCATTGTGCCAGACAAATGGTTCATTTTCTAATCACAGAGTTGCCCTGTGAAATTATTGCAAAAAAGAAAAATTGCTAAATTGTTTGGAAGTTCTTCTATGTTTAAATAAGTGACTTAAGTAAATAAAAGGGAATTATTTCTCTGACTTGCATATGCCCTTCAGCAGTCATGCTAAGTGAGCACACTTCAGTTTAATCATGCGTTCAACAAGAAACCACAGAAAAAGGTCATTATTTGCTAATTTGCTGAAGTTATGGTGAGCAATAATGATTCTCCCGGCTCTGAAAGTATCATTTAGCTATAAATTAGGACACCATTGACTTTCAAACTTTTAATGTCTTCATCAGTCTGTGTACAACTTGTGCATATGTCAACCCTTCATGCGTAAATTCTAGATTCCTCGCCCTAAGCGGCTGCATGCATCACTTGTACCTTCGGCCGACTCTGTTTGCATGTCTGCTTCCGCAGCCTCAGAGCAATGTTGATGAGGAGTCGGAAGAAAAGCCTCCAACTGATGCTGAGACGGTCCAGGTGATCCCCGGAAGCGAGCTCATCTGGAAGATTGCACCTCGACCGGAAAACTCAGCCAAGGTGCCGAATAGACTGAAAGAACTTTTTCAAACAAACAACACCAAGATGTTTGAGCCCAACTGGCGTCTCTCTGTTGCAGTTCTATGCATTCTCCACATTTGCCATGCAACTGAATGAGCTGGACAAGAGCATGGAGGGGGTCCTTCCTCCCACCGACAGCCGCTTAAGGCCTGACATTCGTGCCATGGAGAATGGAGATATAGGTACTGTGTCGGACCCGACCTGACTTTTCTGTGCTGCTGCGACGATTTAATTGCATCTCTGGAGGCGCTGAGTTTTCTGCATTCGTGTGTTCTAGATCTGGCAAGCTCAGAGAAGAAGAGACTTGAGGAGAAACAGCGCACAGCCCATAAAAACCGCTCCAAATCCACAGAGGAGTGGAAAATAAGGTTGGTTGGAAATACAATTTACAGTCTGGTGTTGCTCGCTTTCCATTTTGGAGCTGATTTAACTCGCTGTCTCTCCCATGTTGTCATCAACGATCTATTTCCATTTGCAATAATGTGAAGGAGCTCTGCACTTGGCCCAAGGTTTGGTTCAAAGATCTGCTTTAATCTCTGGGCATGGTTTGCTCTGATGTGAAAGTGTTACTCTGCAGCGCCCTCTTCAGGATAAGATTTGGACTGCGTCTGGTGTTTCAGTGATATTTGCTTTCAAACGGAAATGTCTGCTGCACTCGGGTGCATCTGACATTGGAATAAAAATGTATTTCAGTAACTCATTTTAAATGGTAAAGGTAGATTCCTTTCACACTTGTGGATTATAGATTCAGTGATATATTTGCTATATCATTATCAGTGCAATAAGTCTAATAAATTTGCATCACAATTTTAAAGTGAATTACTGAAAGGAATTAACTTTTCAATGATTTTCAATTTTTTTTTTTGATATTGAACTGTATTTACATAAATTACATCCAACTCTGAATTTCTTATCTACCATTTTTTTCTGTGTTTGTGCAAAGTTGAGAATTTTTTTTATTATTATTATTATTCCCTCCCCCCAACTCAAAGCATATTGCATATTGAATTATAATCTGTTGTTATCATCATGCAGGTGGTTTCAGCAAGGACCCAACCCACACAACAAAGCTCAGGACTGGCTCTACACAAAAGGCTACTGGGACAGGAATTACGCTCAGCTGCCTGACATTTACTAAATGCAAAACATCCTCAGATACACTTATGGATTTCCATGTTACTACCTTTGGACATCTGGTGCTGCTCTGGTGATGCATTACCAGCTCAACAATGGAGTCTGTATAGAAAGGGAGATTCGGTTTGGGAGGTAAAAGGAAGACATATGTGAACAATAAAGCACAAAAACTCTTTATTTATTGTGGCTCTTAACCACTGATGTAAAGGTAATAGCATGTAGTGGAACGACTAGAACGTGCTTTAGAACTGTTGCGTTAGGTACGTGGAGTGTTTAAACAGAAACCTTAGCTTAACTCAAGCGTGTTCATTATTTCTAGTCAGTCAGGAGAACATTTTACTCATCGGTGTCAGTGCACTGAGGCGCGAACAGCCCTTCAAGCAGCTTAGCCTGAGCTCATTTTCCCTAAACACGGCTTTGGCACGGATTGACACTTCTTCATGCATATTATTATGCAGTGCAGAGTTTTAACAGTAGATAACTGAGATAGATTTGCCCTTTTCTCCACATGATACAGTGAGTGGTGCAGATATCTGGTGTTTACATGAATGTGATAGAATATTTTGCCCTCTGCTTATGAGAAAAAGTACCTATATTTAATTGTAATGTGTCTACATATATCCTGATAAACGTGTGCTTGCAAAAAATGTTAGATTCTGAAAGAGAATGACTAATATGGTGATAGTTTGGTTTGGAAAATAAAAATGATAAAACATCCTAAATGTGTTGTGACAGTATGTGTTAAGGTTAATGCACTACCTGGCCCAGTGGCAATGAGTTCCTTTGACAGAGTAAAGCAAGGACTACAACCTGCACTTGTGATTAATACACTTGTAATAGATGTTGCTGTATTGATATGAAAAATGCTGAGGATATTCCTTTAAATAAAGTTTAGTTAGCGGGGATACTTCGACTCGGGACAGGATATGTGTGAGCATCACTTTTCCAAGTCTTGCCACAAATTCTCAGTTGGATATTCTGTCAGACCCTTTGCTTTAAGCCATTCCACCGACGAAAGGGAACTTCCTCCCCAGTCAAGTCTATTACTTGTATCCATATTCACATCAGCTCTGACCACTTCCCCAGTCTTGGCTAAAGATAAGCATTGCTGCAGCATCAAGCCGCTACAGCAATGTTTCACAACGGGGATGATGTTTATTCAGGGTGATTTCAATTTGCTCTCATCTTGCTGATGCAGACGAACGCTCTCCTTGGCCGGCCTGTCCATGTCTGGGTGAGCTGGCAGCAGTTCCACCTTCCATCATCAGAGGATGGATCCATGAGTTCTTCAAAGCTTAAGAAGCTTTCATGGTTTACTGCAGCTTCTACATATCTCAACTTTCCTGCCTGGCCTCTATCTGAGGTGTTCACAAATGTTTTCAAACAGCTAAATATTCAGACTTAAGACCAAGTGGATTGTTTAATAGTTGACTTCTGAAAGTAAATTGTAGTGTATATATATATATATATATATATATTTTGTATTATACCAGAGGAAAGAACACTTATAGAAATTCCCACTGCATTTTGGTAGATGGTCCAAAGCGTATAAAGTCAACTCATAATTGTGCATTTACTCTGAAGCCAAGTCATGAAGTCATGCAAATCCTTTGTCTGAGGTTCCATAAAAACATGACGATAGAATCGAGCAAATGTACCTTTTTAAAAATTATGCCGTTTAATCTTGTTTGAAGGAAAAACTAAACGGATCCAAGTTAATATTTTGTTTCAAAAATCTCAGTTACTTTCGGGTTTGCAATCATGATGCATTAGTTTTTTGTAGGCATTTCGTCAGAGCTTGTATTCAAAGTGTTTCGTCAAAAACAGCAGCCGATATGAAGAATCTTAGCTTATTTTATTAAAATATGGCATTCAAGCTGCTGTTTTATTATTACTACTTCTCTGTGGTTTACAGGTTTTTCTTTCAGTTTTGTCTTTAGAGGCATTTTCCAGATGAGCTCGGTTAAAGTTTCAGAGGCCACATCTGAATGTTCCCGTCTCGATTAAAGTTTCTTGATAGTCAGAGAAAATCAGTAAAAAATTAATCTAAATTGAAATCCCATTTAGTAACATTGTTTTTATTAATCTTGTAACAAATACACAGTAAAACCTGTTGACAGTAAAGAGAATTATTGTGCATTTATACCACTTAGAAGTGGAACAATCTCTGCACATTTACTAAATGTATTCAAAGCATATTTACATAAAAAAAAAGAACAAATCTGCTCCAAGTAGGACCAGTTACTTATGTCTATGGATTAGCAAACTTTTTTTTTTACAAGAAACCAAGGCTAAGGTCATATCAGCATCAAGCACAATTAGTTAATCTGTTTATTTGAATGATACTTTATATGTGCAGTCTCTTTACTTGGCATTACTTGCTGTGATACGAGGGCAAATTTGACAAATTCGCCTCAAATCTCCTAAATATGTAGACTTTCTGACCAAACAACCCTCTATCTTTTAAAATAAACCACCCACAATGTAAAAAAAATAAAATAATAAAATGTGCTAATGTATTGTGCAGTACAGCAACAGGACTGTAAACCTAAAAGGTTCCTCCGTGAATCATTTGTTCACGTTCCATGGAGGCGTTTTGGCTCATAACACTGTAATAAAAACACAGTAAAACAATAGGGTTCACACTTGTAATCCAATTCTCAGGGAGCCATTTTGTTTAAGGTGCTGATCAAACATCAAGGCTGGGCTGGGCTCATACAGGCGAACGCGGAGTGAATTCGCACATGGAGCCTGTTCTCAAAGTCATAGCCGGCGTAATCCTCCTGTATAAAAAGATCCAGAAAGAGTCCATGAATAAATTCTCCCTTCATCTTCATGGCTTGAACCTTTACCGAGGTTCTGCATCGACACAAACAGATCATTGCCCCCGCCGGTCAATCAGCTAAAAGCAGATTCATTAAAAATAGAGGGATCCAGGAATCTGACTCCATTTGTGTTCAGTTTAGATGTTGGTGCATCAATTTTATCACATAGTTATTTTATAGCTAAAGGGACTGAGAGATCTGTGCTCAGTCAATGTTAGCTGCTAATACAAGAACACAGTCAATGGAGCTGCAGGAGGTAGAACACCAGATGGATGAACTGCACCAAGGTCTGAGCAAGCAATTAAAGTCATTTGTCATACAGGATGGTAAGAGGGGACAGATATTCTCAGGGCACATATCATAAATTTAGAATAAAGTATTACTTCAAGATAAAAAAAAAATAATAATAAGGAAGAACTTTTGGGGGTTTTTTTGCTAACTCATTTAAGATTAAAGTCGAAATGAGTGTAGAAAAAAAAAAAACAGATCAGAAATCTAGTTGAAACATTGAGAATAATGTTACATTGTTTGGATTCAAGTGTAGCTATTAAACCAAGCCACATAAGCACTAGTGAGAGGATCTGAACTAGACGCACTTCCCCATTTCACAAGGAAAATGAGGAAGTAACAACATACTTTAGAAATGTTCTTAGTAAATATGCATCCCCCTTACATCCGGACAAGAGCATTTATTTTGGTTGAACAGGGTGATGAAAACCTAAGAATAGCTTCAATCAGCTGCAGATCACTGGCAAACAGCCAGCAGTTGCACTTGCTTGTTCATTTGTTCTCTATGCACTAGGGGACAAATGAACAAATATATATATTTTTTTATTTGCTCAAAAAGTATATAGATAGTCACATTTTTTGAGCAAAATTATTTGTACAATAAATTTGCTTCCCACTAATTTGCTATATGAGCCAAACCATTCCAATGTTCAGGGACAATGTGACACATTGTTTTAATTCAACACCTGATCACTAAACCTGACACCAACTTCAACTCGAGTAGTGCAAACGCAGTCCTGCTTCTTTACAGGTTTATCTGCTTCTTATGTTTCTAAGAAGCAAATCCTAAGAATTTCTTTTTAGTTTATTTTTACAAACTGTTTCTCCAGTCAATTATTGAGCTCACTGGAATATGAGAGTCAGATTACTTTAACTCCAAAGACTTTTTGAGCACATGAGAACAACTGGACTGCATGAAACTAAAAAATTCACAAAGCAAAAGACAAGAAGTCAAAACAATGAATCCTTCGAGTACCTTAGCCTGAAGCAACAGCATTCGGCCCTTCTCTGCAGTCTGTGGGGGGAGGCAAAATAAAAAATTTATATCATGTGACTTTGAGTGAGTTGAGAGAGAAGACCTCACTCCATAACACACAACCAATCATACACAGAATCTATACCTCTGGGGAATTTAGCAGGACACAGGCCAGTTCATAGCAGGAGTAGGGCTGCACGTAGGAGTTGCACTGACGTCCAACCTCGTCGCTCGCAGCCAGACGGAAATACTGTTGGGACACGATTGTAATTTAATGCAGGAAAGAAAACAAGGTTTGCTAATCACCACAATATCCGTTTATAGTGCGTACTTATGAGTGCATGGATTAATTAAAACTCTGTTCAAGGAGCTATTAAGTGAAGTGAAGCATGCTGGGAATCAGGAAAACATTGCATTATTAACCACGCATATACCTGCACAGCATCTTTAGTATTGAGGAGACATCTGCTAATGGCCCCAAGAAGCAGGTTTTTCAGGTCGGTGCATGACGCATCTTCAATCCCCTGCAAAACTACGACAAAAACGATCACTGTGCCTCTGCTGCAAAACGCAACAGCAACCGGAAGACAGTGCGAGAGGCGGGAGCCCCTAAACCAGGCGCCATATTTTACAGCGCTTACCATGAGTCATTGTCTGCAGCTTGGCAGAGGAGCAGTTAGGCAGGGCTTTCCACAGATAGAGAATCTCAATCACAGACAAGATGCAGAGCTCTTTGGACAGACCTGGGCTCCGTAGCTTCTCAGCCTGAGGCGAAATGGGAATATTTATGAGTCAGTGATTTTTATTGCAGTTCAGGAAACGCAAAAAGAAAAGAAAACGAGCCAGATAAATGCTCACCCTCTTCAAGGAAAACACCTCTATCTGATTATTCTTGCGTTTGAAAAGTTTTTGAACATCTTTAAAGGTCACAACAGCACCCTCCAGATCACCGGTGGCTCCTTGGCATACTACAAAACATGGCAGATACGGTTAGAGGCAACGACAACAAAAAAATACTTATTCCTTCAATGCCATGTTACAAACATAAATAATATACGTGTTTTGTGGTAAAGTAATGGAAGATTGTGAAAAGGAAGGAATATAATACATGGTTTTCAATATGTATTTTATTTCAACAAATAAAAATTCATAAGCTGTGGTGAGTAAAGGGAAACCATGGTAGTGGCAGCATCATGGTGAGGGGGAGAGGGCATTTCTTTATGTGCAGACTAGCTAAATAGAGTAGTTCAGAAGATGGACGAAGCCAAATACAAACCGATCCCGATCCTGGGAGAAAACCATAGATGCCCAGTCAAAGCCCAAACAAGAATCCAATTGAAAATCTCATCTACAATATCAAAACTGATGCTTTCTGCAATCTCACTGAGTTTGAGCCTTTTTCCAAAAAAAAGAAAAAAAAAAAAAGAAATGAGAATTTCTCTCTGCAGACAAATGCTGAAAGACTTTGAAATTATAATTGCAGCAACATGTGGTCCTATGAAGCCTCGACTCCAGGGAGCGGTCTGAATACAAACGTCTGCCACATTTTTCCGATTTTCATTTCTAAATTTAAAAACCAGGTCTGCATTACCTCCTGTTAAATAGGCGTAGTAGCACTGCGACCAGCGAGACTCCGCCTTCAGTCGCTCAAACGCCCTGTAGGCTTCGGTGTAGTTCAGTTCAATCATGCTGCACCAGCCTGAAACATTCACCCAGAAGAATTTAGAGATTACGACAGACTAGCGCAGAACATGGAGGCTAAAAACCCGGGGAGGAAAACTATTACCTATTTCGTATAAACACACATGTTGAATCTCCCTCTGGTCCAAAGCCAGGTCTAAGGCTTCGTTGAAGCAAGTCAAGGCACTATTGATCTGGCACTGGAAAGAAAACAAAGTCATTTCATAGTGTGAGCAATAGTGAGGCCTCCCAAATCAGAAGAGATTTACAGGTAGAAAGCAAATTTATTGTTTCGTTTCTGTGTGTCTTTACCTCGAGGCGTTGAACTCTTCCTTTAAAAAATATGAAGAGAGAGGAGTTTGGATATGTGGCCTCCCTTTGTTTAAGTATGCATTTTGCCTCCATTAGGCCTGCTTGTGTGTCTGAGCCATCTAGAGCAAAGAAGGGCTGCACCACCGTGTGGTACCACAGCAGAGCCAGGCTGCAAGGAGAGCAGAGAGTCACAACTTAACTTTTCTGTATTTGTCATTTTGATGATGTCAACTCGCTAAACTGCAACTGATTAAGATTAATTTTATTTGACTCAGGCTGGGAAAACTCAAAATATACATTAGTGGATGTTTATTACGAACAACCTTATTCTGTAACTTGGGAGATCATACTCATGACTTTAATAATAATTAGAAAAAAAAATGAAGAAACTGAAATTAAGAAATGATTCAATAATATGGCATGACTTGGAAAGTAATACCGCAGAACTTGAGTCAGCTGTTTTCTTTCCTTTGTCAACTCATTTTGCTTTCATTTCTTCGTTTAGGAATTTCCATCAAAATTCAATACTTCAGTTCTTCTTTTTTTTTTTTTTTT